CTGAGTCATGCCAACCGCCAGGCTGCTGAGGCCCAGAAACAGCTCAGGAACATCCAAGGCCAACTCAAGGTATCTTTCTGTAGAACGTGGATTACATTAAGTATTGAATGTTTGACGATATGAATATGATATATAACCAAAGCAAGAGAACTCACAAAGAAAGAATGTTGCCACAGGATGCCCAACTGCACCTTGATGAAGCTCTCCGAGGACAGGAGGACATGAAAGAGCAGGTGGCCATGGTGGAGCGCAGGAATAACCTGATGCAAGCAGAGATTGAGGAGCTGAGAGCTGCACTGGAGCAAACAGAGAGAGGCCGCAAAGTGGCGGAGCAAGAGCTGGTTGATGCCAGCGAGCGTGTGGGACTGCTGCATTCGCAAGTATAGAAGATTACTAAATACTTGGAACAAATTCAGGATACATGATTAACTTTCATATAAATGTACACTAAACTAATTGCTTGCATCCCACAGAATACAAGTCTTATTAACACCAAGAAGAAGCTTGAGACTGATCTGGTCCTTGTTCAAGGTGAGGTGGAAGATTCAGTCCAGGAGGCCAGAAATGCAGAGGAGAAGGCCAAGAAGGCCATCACTGATGTGAGTGTTTACTTTATGCTTCTTCTACTTTATACAGTTATTTGACTTTGTGTTTAGGTTCATGTGGTAACAAAGGGAATATTCATCGAATGTATTTTTTGCTGTGAAGTGAAGCAAAGGCCAAGTGTCCTCTGCATTTAACCAATCCAAGTTAGAGTTAGGAGTATTGAGCAGTCTTTTTCTTTTCTTTTTTGTGGCACCCAGAGAGCGATTGGGGTTATGTGTCTTGTTGAAGGGCACTTCAGTCATTACCTGCGAGAATTGAGAATCAAACTCTCGACTTTCGGGGTAAAAGTCTGACTCTCTAACCATTAGGGAAAAAATGGTAAATGGACTGCATTTATATAGCGCTTTCACAGACCCAATGGCCACCAAAGCGCTTCACATATGGGGTGGTGATGGCACAGTGGGTGAGACACATGCCTTTGGTGTGAGAGACCCAGGATCGAATCCACTGTGAGACACCAATGTGTCCCCGAGCAAGACACTGAACCCCTAGTTGCTCCAGAGGCGTGCAACCTTTGACAATTACATTTATTAATTTAGCTGACGCTTTTATCCAATTCGACTTACAATTGCTCTATATGTCAGAGGTCGCAGCCTCTGGAGCGACTAGGGGTTAAGTGTCTTACTCGGGGTCACATTGGTGTCTCACAGTGGACTCGAACCCGGGTCTCTCACACCAAAGGCATGTGTCTCATCCACTGCACCACCACCACCATATTTAGCAATTGTAATAAATTGTAAATTGTAAAATTGCTTTGGATAAAAACGTCAGCTAAATGAATAAATGTAAATGTACCATATTGCCTCACATTCACCGATTCACTCACTCATTCATACACCAACGGCGGTGTTAGCCACGCAAGGCGCCATCCATCGTCGGGAGAAGCTGGGGTTAGGTGTCTTGCTCATGGACACCTCGAAACTTGGTCAGGTGAAAAGATTCGTCCGGTTTGTAGAGAATCTGCATGAAGCACTGAGCCACTGCCGCCATTAGGCCACAACTGCCCATCTATATTGGTTAGTTCACTTAAATTGGCTTATATTTCAGGCTGCCATGATGGCTGAGGAGCTGAAGAAGGAGCAGGACACCAGTGCTCACCTGGAGAGGATGAAGAAGAACCTGGAGGTGACTGTCAAAGACCTGCAGCACCGTCTGGATGAGGCCGAAAGTCTGGCTATGAAGGGTGGAAAGAAACAGCTCCAGAAACTGGAGTCCAGGGTAAATTTGAGTGTTCAGGAGCTTAACAAAACTCATTCTTAGATGTACTGGTCATGACAGAGAATGACAGGCAAAACAATAACTCTCTACTGAAGGTGCGCGAGTTGGAGTCTGAAGTTGAAGCCGAGCAGAGACGTGGTGCAGACGCTGTGAAAGGAGTGCGCAAATACGAGAGGAGAGTGAAGGAACTTACCTACCAGGTAAAACTACTTTTATTAGAAATTGACCACCGTTTCCAATATACAGTTTAACTAAGACCGTGACCAATATTTACACCCAAAGACCGAGGAAGACAAGAAGAACGTGACCCGACTGCAGGATCTGGTAGACAAGCTGCAGCTGAAAGTGAAGGCCTACAAGCGCCAGTCTGAAGAAGCTGTAAGTCTAATATCAAACCTTGAGCATGAAGTTTTAGTATCGACAAGAACATCCAGAGCCATGAATGCACTGCTCTGAAACGGGTCGAATGTCTTGTGTAATGGTAACAGGAGGAGCAGGCCAACACTCACCTGTCCAGGTACAGGAAGGTGCAGCATGAGCTGGAGGAGGCTCAGGAGCGCGCGGACATCGCAGAGTCCCAGGTCAACAAGCTGAGGGCCAAGAGCCGCGAAGTTGGAAAGGTAACAGTCAAACCTATACTACCATGATTCACAATAGCTGGCTTTCAGTCCCGCGCAAAATTGGATGGAGGAAAGTCCGTACTGTACTAGTTTACACGCTATTACAAGAGAAAGATGTAAACAAAAAAAATCAAACATATGTTGGACGTGATCCTTACGCTATGAAGAGGAGCGATTTTTCAACTCAATTGAAAGATTTTCCAGCCATCGAGGCGCTAGATATCAGCAACTATGAACTACCTCGTCTTGCAGACATACTTTGACTTTTCACAGTTCGGAAACATTACACATTACACAAACATAGCCACTTGAGTTGTTGTATTCACTCATCAGTCATCTTCAAGATTACGAGCAGTTTGGATGTAAACAGTAGTCTGAGCTCACCTTTCCACCCATCCATGTAAAACGTGTGTGAAAGCGTCTGTCTCGTACAGTAACTCGTTCGGCCACTGTATTGAACCTTTAGTCCTGCTCCTGGAGATCAGCGTTTACTTCCAGACCTTGATTATCTGCTTGAGGAGTGTCTCAGGAGTTAGAGACGGATCTACACAGGACAGAGGAGCTCACGCATTTACTGTAATATTAAATCTATGTTCTTGTTTCAGAGCAAAGAAGCTGAGGAATGAGGGATCACATCCGGACACCGTAGCAAGCCATCATACAATATGAACTGCTTGTGAGATGTCAGCATGCAATTTAGAGACAATAAAAGTAAACCTGAAATCTTCTTGCTGTCGTGTTTCTATCCAGCGCTCCACCGTACGGGGGTGAGGAGCCTCTGCAACAAAACAAATCATAATAAAACAGGAGAATAATGAAGTCCTTTAGAATATTTCTCTCTTTCATTCTGTACATTATTACACTCTGATGCTTAATTTCACTTAGTAGTATCAGCCATTTAGTCATTATAAAACATAAATCAAATAATTATTGTATCGCTGCATCTCTATTTAAATCCAGGAACCGACTTAACAAACATTACACAAGTGTTTGACCCACAGCCATTACATATTTAAAACAGTAATATCCTATACTAAACCTACACTAATACTGACAAACTATAATTCGAAAGCTTACAATCTGTAGTTTTCATATTTGGTGATTGTTTTTCAAAATAAAGTACAGAGGAGCCGTAATTTATCAATTTGCAACAAGAGGAATATTTAAACCTGTATTTTGAAATAGTGATGAACATGAAATCAGGAAAGAATGTTTGTTTTCATTCAAAAAATAACATCCATTATTTTATTTTTTTTAGAAAAGAAGGTCTGAAAATGTTATAAATTTAAAGAAAATAATTATAGATTTAGCATTTGTGATGTGGCAGCGAGATAACCCACATGCGTCTTCTTTTTATGTGATTATTGAGGTTGAATTCATATCAAAATATGCCAAACTTCCCTTACTACTTCTAAATAGGATGCCTACTTCATAAATTGTATGAAAATTGTGGAAATAGATAGGTTCAGATCACTCAAACACATGTGGAAATGGAGGCGTGATGGAAATATGGGCAGTAATGGAGTCTGGTTGTGAGTGACCAAGTGAAAAAGTGTGGTACAGCGAACAAACAAAATCTTACTGAAAGCTTATTTTTTAAGATATCAACCTAACATTTGAAACACAACTTGTTCAGAGTTTGATGCAGTTTCATTAGGTCTTTGGAAAAATATATTTGATATAAAACACGAATCATTTAATTTTTACATTTTCATAAACTCAAACTTGTTTCACTTTCTTAATTTATTTCTTAACTTCTACAAAAATCTGCCAAATGTCTTCTGTAAAACAAGACCAATCTTGATCTATTCCAAAGCATTCTTGAATTACAACCATTTAAGTTCAGATCATCAGATCAGCAACACCTAAGAGGTTAAAGTTATTAACCAGATGATTGAAGACTGTTAAGTTCCCGGATACACTAAAAGAGCTGCTGAACATCACCCTTGTAATTATATTATAAGTCCAAAACTCTCCAATGTCCATGGCATCCCTGTGCAATAACACACACTCAAACGGTGTTCATTCACTCCATTACTAGGATTTTCAGCTATTATTCGGACATATTAGAATGATCACCGTTCAATCAATTTACCATACATGACAATATAAAGAATCTTTTCCAGATCAAAAATACAATACCTCAAGGATGACTGAAAACCTGACATGTCAATGATCATTAGATCAAGGGACAATATGATAACCAAATATTTACACAGCCATCATCAATTGTTTGCTGTAGGCTGTTAAAATTTGTGTCAAGTATAATTTAATATTTTACTTGCCTTTAACTTGATGATTTCTCTAAACTACCTAGCAATGCCTTCCCAACCCAAGTAAAATAGCCCAGGTACATCCACAGAAACTCATGTAAAACACATGTAACGTTAATAATAAACTTACTTTATGAGCTGTTCTTCTCTGAAGAAAGATCCTCACAGGCTGAAAGTGAACCAACCAAACATGAAGGAATCACCTATCATGGGTTTATAACCCAGTAACTCATCCTATCACAAATAAATAAAGACATCATTGTTTATTTTTAGATAAGGAACTTTAATGAAAAGCTGTGGACGGACACTGATGTCCTCAGCTGCAGTTAATACTCTCGAATGAATTAACCTTGAATGGGGTTACATGTTTATGTAAATTACTTGCGAGATGTTTCATAATGTCCTCAAAGTCAACAGTGATTATAAGACATTTGGTTTAATTTCTTCACTCGTTTCATTTCTTTCTCATCTAATGATGACTAGTCTACTCTTCAGCGATGGGTTAGACATCTATTACATTCTCACTGACAGCCCAGATTCGGCCTGGTTTAGCCTAGCTGTCTGGGCTGTGTTTGGGCACTATTAGACGTCTTAAAAACGCAGAAGTGCTTGCTGGGAAGAAGTTATCATGATGTTGAACAGGAATCCCAGCTGTGATCTGAGAAATGCGACAGAGAAACTCCTTAAAGAGCGCTGGCACACACTGAGCCCGTAAGCGCTCCCTCATCAGTTCCTGTGGTTGATGTGCTCGTGACGTTAGCAGCGTCTCAGAGCGTCTCCGGCTCTCCGGCTAACTCTCGTGTTGGAGACGATGATGACGACGGGACTGACGGCGGCGTAGAGCGAGGAGAAGAAGATCCTGAGGTCGGAGATTAGCGAAGAGCCGAGCGTCTGAGGCACGCTGAGCGTATAAACCCACAGGCCGTTGTCCACGCCGTAGAAGAGCAGGTACAGTGAGACTAGCGTGATCACGCCGAGAGCCGCGCGCCGCTCCGCTAATGACCCGCCACGAGCCGTGGCCTGCCGGCGCCGCAGGAATGCTAGGAGCAGAATGCTAGCAACCGCCATCAGCGCCATCGGGACCACGTCTCTCCCCACCTGGGCTGCGCCGTTAGCGTCCCGCGCTAGCCTCGACGGGAAGTTCAGGAAGCAGAACTCCACATTGATGGCGTTCAGCGAGAGCTTAGAGTCGTTCCGCGTCGCGATGGCGAACAGCAGCGGAGCCGCGCTCATCGAGCCGTTGATTAGCCACAGCGCCAGGAACACCACACACAGCGAGCGGCCCAGCAGAACGCGAGCGCTAGCGCGGCGCGACCCCGGCGGAGACACGCTCAGGCACTGGTATGCGCTCAGCACGAAGGTCAGCCAGATGGACAGAGACCTGGTGGTGCGGTAGATGAAGATCACGGCCTTGCAGCCGCTGTCGTCAAACACGTACACGGAGAAGGAGGCTAGCACCTCCAGCACGCAGCGCACCGACAGGTTAGCCAGGTTAACAATCGCTAGGTGCAGCACGATGGTGTCGGCCGGCGAGAGACGCTCCTGATACGCCAGCGAGAGGAAGGCGAAGATCACAGCGATGTTCCCCGGGACTCCGGTCGCCGCGAGAGAGAGGAAGAGCAGGCCTCGCGTCAGAGCGCTCGCGTCCATCTCACACACACACACACACACTCTTCTGAACGCTGCTGTGATCTGTGCTGGTTTATAGTGGGGTCGGAGCCGTGGGACGCTGATGTTCGGGACGGTCCAGTGCCTTCAGTCTCAGATCAATTACACCAATGATGTGCAGCTGAGCGAGTCTGTCCCCGACGAGTGCAGCGACACGATTGCAGACGCTCCAGCGCACATCAAGACATGCTTTCTGAACCTTCCTGGGTTTAAATGTTTCTTCTTTATTATGTGAACATTAAAGGTGCAGTGTGAGATATTCAGGAGGATCTATTGTCAGAAATATAATATAAAATACATAACTGTGTGTTCAGTGGTGTATAAAGAATATAATGAAGCGTTCTGTGTTTATGAGCTGATAATGAGGCGTTTCTCTCCACACACACCGCGGGTCCGCTTATATCCACATGTGTCTACGGTGGCCCTAAACACATTTCGTCCCTACGTTGTTCTTCATGTTCAGAAGCTGCTAAAGACAGCAAATAAAACACTGACACAATGATGAACAAGTCGTAATAATATTCACAATAGCATCGTTTTACTGAATAATCAGGTAAACTTAATCTCATAATTTATCTTTGTAAAGAAACCTCACCACTTATCTGACTACTCTCTGCTGTCTCAGATGATGACATCACTTCCTGTCGGCCACCGTAACTTCTGTTGGGTGCGATTCACAACTTCACCACTAGATAAAACGTACACACGGCCCTTTTAAAGGAATGTTCCATTGTATCATTCTTCTAACATTATGGATCCTTACTTTTGAACGTTCTGAAACGAGTAACATTATAAAAACATCCAGCTAAAACATTTCTGAAAACTAACACCCCATGAACGATGTAACTCAATCTCAATTTATTTATAAAGCACAGTTAATAGACCAATGCGCTGTATAATGTTCTAAAACCAAAAACAGCTCATTCAAATAAAACATCAACATGGGACGAGAGTTACAGACTCCAGAGAAGAGATACGCATGTAATGTTGCTGCAGTTCTAAAGCTTGGTCACCGCTATAGATTTTAACTTTGTCTTTGGAACAGTTAACAAACTCTGGCTGGCAGGCCGAAGTGTTCTCATGGATGTGGTTCTAGAAGAAATAAAAGCATGAATCGCAGTTTCATGTCAAAGTGCTTAAAAGAAAGAAAACTCTTCACTTTAGCAACTCTTAGTTGGTAAAAACTTGATTTGAACACTAAATTGATTTGCTCGTCAGATTTAAGTGCACTATCAAATACTTTTTTTACACAGAATTTAACTGAAGATAAGACACCAGAATTTAAATGAGAAATGTTTGGGCCAAACACATTTACTCTCATTTAGATTGAAAAAGTGTAACGACCTCTTTGACAACGGAAAGACGGGCACTGATGAAGTCCAAGCCATTTTTGTGCTTCAGAGGCAAATAAAGTTTTGTATCATCTGCATAGCAATGATAATACGAGCCATGCATTTCAAAAATAGAGCCTAAATGAAGCATGAGTGAAAACAATAAAGGGGCCACAATAGAGCCTTGGGGGACACCGCACCCGAAGGACAAACTCCTGCATTCATCGAGAAGCTTCTGTTTTTAAGGTACGACTGAAACCAGCTATGAATGTTCCTCTGATGCGGACAACTCTAGACGAGAGAGCAGGACATCATGGTCAACAGTCTCGAATGCAGAACTTAAAGCTAAACGCACCAGAACAACAGAGTCATCCGAGTCAGTAAATCTCTCACTAGTGCCGTCAGTAGCTCCTCAGCTGATGTAATGTGTTTGTGTGAGAACAGTATTAAAGACCAGATAACTCTGAATGAACGTCATAGTGTGTGTGTGTGTGTGTGTGTGTGTGTGTGTGTGGAGTGATCAGTCCTGATGTTAAACGCACGTAGCGCGTGTCGGCCTGCGTTCAGGCGTAAACACGCCTCTCCCGAGGGAATTATGGGAAGAAAACAGACCAGCCCAGACATGCCCGTCCCACAGCACCTCATTAGCTTAATGGTGTCTAATTATCTCCTGAGGACTCTCAATTACAGGATAAACAACACACACACACTTCATTCCTCACAAACAACACACACACTGTCAGGCCGTTAAACATGGAAATAGATTGATCGTTAACTGAGAAGTACACAAAGAATGACATGAAGAATCTTCGGTCACACTCTATTTTACAGTGTCCTTGTTACATATACCAAACCCTAACCCATAGCAAGTACATGTTGCTAATTAATATTACTCAGTACTATAATTACACTGTAACAATGACACCTGAAAATAAAGTGACCTTCATTCGTGAAAAATCTCAGCAAAACCATTATAAAATGTACTGAGTGTTATTAATTAACGACATGTACTTACTATAGGGTTAGGATAGGATTAGGTTGAGGGTTAATTGCATGTAATTATGCATAATTTACTCTCATTAGTATAGTAAATATATGTAAAGCAATCTTTATCATTTATTTATTTTATTCATTAAGCACTTTAAAACTGCACTTGCAGACCAAAGTGCTGTACGATCGGCAGCATTAAAACAAAATCTGTTTATTTGTACTTATTATATTACTGTTTGAACCTTACATTAGTTAGGCATCAAAACGTGAACTTTCACTGGTAAGTCAATTGTAGGTGCAAGGTTAAACGGGTCAAAAACAATGAAACGATTAGCTAAATGTGACAGTAATTTAAAAGTGATTAAGGTGAAGAAGGAGCAGCATTGATCCGGGCCGTCTCCTGATCCCTGGGGCCACTTGCATTAACCTCCACGACTAGTCTTACAAGTTAGACATTTTTTCTAAAAGGCACTTCGTAGATTTTTAAAATTGGTTACATAAAAACATAGATTAGCCTAATTTGATACAAAAACTACGACTGACTGGCCCTGACTAACTGCTAGTGGGTCATACTAGAACTTACAGACTGTCTTAACATGATGGCTGTTTATGCAACCGGCCCCTGGAGTCATTAGGACGCGCCCCAGCTGGACACTTCTCCACTTCTAGCTGTCTCTCTTCTCTCCCGCGGGTGTAGACGAGGCTTTATATTGGGCTTTATACCGAGCCGCGACTCAAACGGTCTCTGAGCGGCTCCATGGACCTGTGTGTGACCATCAAAGGCGTGTCGTTCCTGCTGCAGACGGGTCTGGGGATCCTAGCGAACACGCTGGTGCTGCTAGCGTACGCACACATGCTTCTGCGCGAGTCTCGGCTAACACCCACGGACGCTATCCTGTGCCACCTGGCATTCGCGGACCTGCTTCTGCTGCTAACCCGCGGCGTTCCACAGACCCTGACCGTGTTCGGCGTGTGGAACCTTCTGGACGACGCCGGCTGCAAGGTGGTCATATACCTGTACCGCGTGTCGCGCGCGCTGTCAGTGTGCCTGACCTGCATGCTGAGCGTGTTCCAGGCGGCTAGTGTCGCCCCCGCGGCCGGCCCGCTGCTCTCCTGCCTCAAGCCTCGACTCCCGCGGCTAGTCCTCCCCGGCTTCGCCGTGCTCTGGCTCATCAACATGGCCGTCTGCATCGCCGCACCCTTCTTCTCCGTAGCCCCGCGCAACGGCACCGTCCCGCCGTTCACCCTCAACCTGGGCTTCTGCCACGTGGACTTCCGTGATAACCTGTCCTACGTGGTGAACGGGGTGGCCGTGTCGGTGCGCGACTTCGCATTCGTGGGTGTAATGCTAGGCTCCAGCGGGTTCCTCCTGGTGCTCCTGTACCGCCACGGCCGGAAGATGAAGGGCAACCGGCGCTCGCAGGGCAAAGAGACACGCGCCGCTAAGACTGTGCTGATGCTAGTGGTTCTGTACACGGTGTTCTTCGGCATCGATAACGTCATCTGGATCTACATGCTAACAGTGGCGCAGGTGCCGGCGGTGGTGGCCGACATGAGGGTGTTCTTCTCCTCGTGCTACGCCTCGTTCAGCCCGTTCCTCATCATCTCCTCCAACAAGAAGGTCAAAGCGAGGATGGTGTGTGCGAGCACGGACCCAGCGGACGACAGCAAGCAGTCAGACGCCAAAAACTCGGAGTCCTAGTTAAGCTAATAGTGCTTAAAACTCTGTTTGTACGGAAAGACTACACACCTGCACACATATATTTTCAAACACACATACCTATAGACTAAACACCAAATACGCACGTGCACGGCGTCAGCATTTTCATGGAGTCACGTTTTGTTTCTCAAAAATTTTCAAAACCTGCATCTTGGAACCAGTTTCAAAGTTTGCATTTTCGAAGCCTCCAAACACTGTTGTTGCGCAAATGAACGGCCAGAACACATTAAAAGATTTCTGTTTTCTGTTAGAACAGTGTCATGTTAGCGGCCCCTAAGTTAATAACTAATCAAAAACTAACTTTATGTGGACAATAATTTATTCTAGAGCTGCTGTAAAGCTTCTCAATCTCTGTTACTTTAATTTCCTAAAACTGTAAAGCTGTCTAGAAACAATATTGTTAAAAGCGCTGAAGGTGACTTGACTTGTTATATTGTCTCTGTATTTGAATGTGAAAACTCTATGCACTTAATAAACGAATTGTTGGAAGGTGAACTGTGAGGACTCTTATTTTGACGCGTCTGTTGAGGACTCTTATTTGACGGGTAACGTTTAGTTTTAACCAAGCAGAGGACGGCACGGCAAGCAGTCAAATGTCAAAAGATTAACATCGTTAAGCTAATAGTGCTGACTTACAAACTCTATGATAGTTTGGCGCACAGACTCTTAATTATTGTGAATTACTTGAAATTGCGGTTTTATTTTTCCATCGTTAGTTAGGGTTAACGCGGGGGAGTGAGTGAGCAGCGCTTCTGCGTTATGAGTAAAAGTTCAGAAACAAAGCCCGTCTGTCTTTCTTCAGACGTTCCTCTTGTCTGTGTTTGGATGTGAAACTCTGTGTACTTAATAAACGAACTGTTGGAAAGTGAACTGAGGACTCTTATTTCGACGCGTCTGTTGGGGACTCTTAGTTTGACGGGTATATTGTCCAGCCGCCATCTTGCCTGGTTGTGTCTGGCTTCAGGCGCGCGCACTGAACCGACCCGGAAAACTCGAGCCGAGTTAAACTGACGGTGAGACCGAGTTTAATTAGATTTCCCCTACGCCTTTTAAGCTTTAAAAAAAGATTAAGACTCTTATTAAACCTCACCTGCCCGAGAGAGTCGGTCGGGTCCTTGATGTTTGATGGTTTGAATTATGACTTTACTGAGAAGAGTCGATCACTTCCGGTGGTGTAGCTGTTAGCTTCTCAGAGACAGTTTGGCACATTGAAAATAAAAACAAACTTTTAAAACAAAAAAAAAACCGTTTATGTAAATGAGAAACGAATCCATGTGAGTGACATAACAATAACATTATTTAACCTTATGCTTTAAGAATCTGCATTTATTATTCCTGAAAATTAAGTGCTCCAAGCTGGTCAGATATAAACACATCTAGAAACAACTGCGTATGAAATTTTTGGGTTTTTTGCATGACAGTATTTTTAATGTCAGAATCTAACGGATGAATCTCATGAAATATAACGAGCAGAACATTTCATTTACACAATGACTTCTCATAGTCAGCAGGCTATTTTTTTTTTACCATTGTGTGAATTTAATCTGCGTGACATTTTACTGTCGATTACATGACAAAAAGTCATGATGCAAAAATATTAAATCTGATATATTAGGCTGCATTCTATTTAGTTAGAATAAAAATATAGTTCTATTGTTTATATATTGATGTTTATGTATATTTTCTTAATATATTTGTGAATGTATATATTGTTGAATTCATTTAATATTGAAGGAAGGAATTAAATATAAATAAATATATAGTTTACATGAAATATAATAAAAGGCATTTCTGTTGCTCAACGGCATTAACAACACCAAGGTCGTGGGTTCGGTTCGCAGGGAAACATGAACGTATGATATTAACCTGCGCGTGTGTCTTCAGAGATGGCGGCGATCCGTAAGAAGCTGGTGATCGTCGGGGACGGCGCGTGCGGGAAGACCTGCCTCCTCATAGTCTTCAGTAAAGACCAGTTCCCAGAGGTCTACGTGCCCACCGTCTTCGAGAACTATGTGGCTGACATCGAGGTGGACAGCAAGCAGGTGAGCAGCGCAGGTGTGCGTCATGTGACTGAGCGCGTGTCACGTGACTGAGCGCGAATGGCTGAGCCCGTGTCATGTGACTGGCGTGTGGCTGAGCGTGCTTCATGGAGTGTGTGTGTGTGTTCCAGGTGGAGCTGGCACTGTGGGATACGGCGGGACAGGAGGATTATGATCGGCTGCGGCCGCTCTCCTATCCGGACACTGACGTCATCCTGATGTGCTTCTCCGTCGACAGCCCCGACAGCCTGGGTGAGTCTCGCCGTCTCACACACACACACACACACACCTACACATTACAAATACACATCAGACATCTACATCACACACACCCCTGCTGCTTCATCTCAACTCTGACCTTTCTGGCCCTCAGAGAACATTCCTGAGAAATGGACGCCCGAAGTCAAGCATTTCTGCCCCAACGTTCCCATAATCCTGGTGGGCAACAAGAAGGACCTGCGGAACGACGAGCACACGCGCCGCGAGCTCTTCAAGATGAAGCAGGTGTGTTTCTCACTCCTCCGTGTCGTAAAGAGCACCAGACCACATCTCTCTCCTCATATTCTCCATTGTTGCGGCTCCTCTCTTCCCAGTCTGTCAGTAACGCTCGGTTTACTTCCTGTCTCTATGAAGCCCCGCCTTCTGGAAAAGCTCATTGTGCTCTGATTTTGGAAATGTCAGTTTAACACACGACTAACTAACTCAACCAGGCCCGCCCCTTTATTCTGCGCTAGTTTTGCTGGCGTTTTCCTTAAAGCAACACCAGTAACTTTTCCTCTGCGGTCGCCCTACAGGTTGGAAGTGGAATTGTCCATTACTGCTGTCATTAATCATTTCTCCTCACGCACGCACACGCCCTCTGCTTATCCAGCACCTGCTCTGGAGTCATGATGACAATTCAAAAGCGACCCGCTGCTAGGTGTCTTACATGTAGTCGTAGTCTGCTGTCCAGTTCGCTCCATCCATTGGCAATTGTAACGCTTACCGTAAAGCAATTTAAATTCGTAGTTTTCTTATGTCTCATTCGGACTACAGAAACGCAAACCGATCTGGCAATCTTACAAAGCGTGGATATATCGGATAAAGGACCGCAAAGCGGAGGCATAAGTGCATTTCACCATGTCACGACTTGATGAACCACTGAAACGATTTAGAAAACGTTAGATATTTGATGCGAAAGAAGGATGAGCAACATGACATCATGACTTTTGCGTAAACATACACGCCACTTCCGAGTCAAGTGGCGTGTTATCTATACGCATTTTGAGCTATCCGCGTGTATCCGCCTGTATACGTGTATGTCTACTAGGGGTTTCATCAACTAGTCGACTGTCACAACCCTAACCCTAAATATTGTGTGTATTTAACAGTATTAGCATAATAAGACTTGAAAGATAACTTAGTCCAGCGCTGTTTGACAGGCTTCTAATGCCTGTGAGCGTCGGGGATATGCCGCACGCTCAGGAAAGCGCACGTTAGAACAGCGCGTGAATTAAATGTTTAACCGGCAAGGCTTATGCAAACAATGAACTTTTGTGAATTGCAGTGTCCCGTACCTATTCATTAACGTGTGATGTGTAGGCTACGTCGCGTTGTACAGTTGAGAGGCGCCAGAACTGATAGAATGCACTGTAACACGATACTACTACCATATTTCTTCAAAAGCAGATCGTGGAGACATTTACTATTCGTGATGTCGCACACCGCTAGAATAAACCATTTAACGACTAGTCGACTAGTCGTCGACTGTTATGCAAAACTAGTCGACTAGCAAAAATCAGTAGTTGTGAAACCCCTAATGTCTACGCCATTAACGTCCGAGTGATTCCGCGTGTCTGTACACGCCGTCAAATGTCCGCGCGAAACGAAGCATTAAACCCCAGTGACGGGCAGGTTTAGGGACGGGGTTGGGGTAAGTCATATATTTATATATACAGTAATAACGTTAAGTCAACGGCGTTGATAAACACCCTGAAAAGCGATTATGCATCTTGATAGCACGCTAAAAATGGAAATACGAATTGGCGTGTCATACAAACGCTACTTCATGAGATCAGTCTGGGATGAGGGTTAAATCCACTAACCTCGTGAACCTGATCCTGTGAATCCTCTGTGTGTGTGTGTCCCGCAGGAGCCGGTCAAACCCGAGGAGGGCCGAGACATGGCCAACCGCATCTGTGCCTTCGGATACATGGAGTGCTCTGCCAAAAGCAAGGACGGCGTGCGTGAGGTGTTCGAGATGGCCACCAGGGCGGCGCTACAGGCGCGTAAGGGCAAGAAGAACAACAAGTGCCTCCTGCTGTGAACTTCCTCTCCGACTCCGGCAGTTCCTCTAGTGCTGAGAGTTCCCGTCAGTATTTAACGCTTCAGACTCGCCGCAAACACACACATATGCAACCCATCTGGATCAGCCCTGCACACACACACTCCCACAGACTTGAAGATCACTCTTTTGTCTTTCACAATAAACAGACTTTGGTATGTTTGTGTATTAAAGCCTTTATAAGACGCTTGGTGTTTCTCGTGCATTGCTTT